TAACATTTGAAAGTACACTGAAATTGTTCTTTGAAACAAAACATTTAGGGGGACAATTTTCTCTCCTCCAGGTCATACTTTGTTGTGGTGTTAAAAGGCTGTTAGGGTTTCTGGAATCTGGAGTTTACCACACTCTCTGGAATGGTTATTCATTCAAAGAAACATGTAATGTGCATTTACTGACCAGTGAATAGACCTTTATAGGACCAAGTTTATGTTTCTCAGTGGACTAGTGGGTGAGACGAGGAGGTTTTGCAAAGTGACACATTTTGGTAGACACATGATATATTTGCTTTTTTTTTTCTTTTACTTTAAAATGCAACAGAGGTAAGTAATAATTCTATGAATAATCTCTTAATGATTTTCTGCACTCAGCAGCAAACAGTGATGTGTATTCTTTCAACAGCTGGCTAGGCTCCTGGGAGAATGCTATCTTTGCTTTTCAGCTACTGATTCTATTTGTGTCTTCCAAGTTACAGCCCTTGTGTGGGAGATTAAGATTGATTGTCCATGAATGCATCTCCTTAAAAATGTAGATAAATCACTCCAGAGATAAAACTGCAATTCTCTGTTAATTACTTTTACTCTTCAGATATTGTGGACTTGAAAATATGTAGTCATGACATTTCTATCTAATTTCTATTAATGATAAAGTCATTCACAGAGGTGTTTTTTGGGAAAAAGACTGTAATCAGTCATTAACTTCTGTTAAGTTATATCTCAACAATAAAAGGTTTCAGTGTATGTCTTTAACCACAAGAAGTTTAATCTTTGCAGAACTCTGGCAATTTAGAGTGCTTAGAATGCAGTTTGATGCTTATGTAAAGGGAATCCTGTGTCTTTTCACTATCAGCCCATTAATCAGGGAATGTGAATCCTTTGATTCATATTTTATCTCTTGTATGCTTTGATGTTGCCACTTTTTCAAACCAAAAAATAATAAATTCATTCTCCGGTCATGTCAGTGTAGGTGAGCTTTCAGTTGTTTTAGTAGTTCACATAGATGGAAAAGTTTGGTGCACACAAAAACCTGCTTCCTCAAAACAGAAGCAAGTATATTCACCACCATCATTATGACTGTGTTTTGAGTGGTGAACTAGTGAGCTGTATAAATATTGCTGAATTTTTGATGGTTTATTTTCAGTGAGGTTGGGTGTTATGTATATGCAGCAAAGCAAATCTTTTCAATTTTTGTAGAGAGCACTCTTGGAAACCATCAGCTCAAAAAAAAATAAGCAACTCTGTTGACGAAATTATTTTATTTTAATGGTGATTTTCATTGGAGTATACTTACTCTTCAAAATAAGCATGTATCATAAGTGACAATGAGAGAGGAGCATGTGGAGTTAAGTGCAATGTGTGTGGGACTGGCGAAATATAGCCTTTTGATCTTGTTAGATATGTAAGCAGACGGAAAACAGCAGTCTGAGCAGGTCATTGTATACTCTTTTTAAATACAGTTTCCATAGGTGAATTTACTGGTACAATATGGGTGTTGTAAATCTAGTCACATTTGTTTCTAAATTCTCTTTCCACTTCATATGAGGAAAATGATATCTGTGGTATGGGACAAACAAATGGTCTCCACTGGAGAAAAGTGATAAATAACCTTCCCATCTTACTATGTTTTAACACCCATCATTCTATCTCCTTGACAAGTCTGGGTTATAACTTGAATGAGCTCACCACCCTGCTGTTTTTTTTTATTTGTTTTTCATCCTTTTGTTCAGTAATTAGGAGAGTCTTTTCTACTACAAAGATTTCTAATGAGCTTTAGAAAACAGACATCTGTTACCACCTGGCTGTCATCACCCAATTTCTCATTCTTAAGTCAGGGATATTAATATTTGATCCTCCTTAGCATTACTCTTTGAGGTAACTGAGATTACCTTGTGAATATTTGTGAGCATCATTAGGAATGCAAAGCTATATAAATACAAATTTTATTCCATTACTCACTCCAACATGTCCCATGAAATTTACTAGTGAAATTATAATTCAAAGCAGTAGGATATAGGATTTTGAATCACTGGACAAATCTCTACTGCAACTTTATTCTGTGTGGTATATTTAATATAAATTTTTATTAAACTCTTTGAAAATTTGCCCCCTTAAGGGGTTAGGTTAAATAGCCTGGATTATAAAGCTGAAATTTTATAATAACAGCTGAAATTCTAGCTTTCCACTTTATTACACTAACATCTCACAGGGGATTCCAGAACAGTAGATGACTTTACATAATATGTATTCAAAACTCATCTGCATTATCCAGGTGCACACTTTAGACTGGATCCTAACAAACTCATGACTCAGCCCTTATTTCCAGGGCTTTAGTTATTTTGGTCTAAATTTCAAATATAAAATAGATTGTTAATGAAAAATGTTACCACTTAGAATTTTGAATATTTACTTTCAAAATAGAGAAAATATACTTCTGAATGGCTGGTTGGTGTATATATCATAAAGTATGGAACTCCTTCAGCAGAGCTGGGGCAGTGCCACCTCGTCAAACAAATGAACATTTCTGCAGCAAAGCAATAAATATTCATATTAAAGTGGAATAAATAGAAACTTTAAATGACCTCAAATCAGTTAATTTCCAACTTTTCTGCCAAATGAATGTGAAGCCAAGCTTTTCATTTTCAGAGCTTTTTGGATTTTGAACTTGTGAATGTGAGGTTTTAGATCTTTATTAAAGCATAAATACTTCATAAATTAGGACAAAGTAATAAATAGTATATAAGCAGAAGTAATATATTTGACATTTAAGAACCATAGCCCAGTGGCACTGAATGCTTGTGTTCAAACTTTTTGGCAAGGTACTCATTCTCTATACCTCCTCAGTGTCTTCATCTTCAAAATGAGGATAATGATGCAATCGGCCTCATAGGTTGTTATGAAGTGTAACATGTTACTGTTTAAAAATACTTAGAAGAGTGCCTGGAATCTAAATTAGTGCTATTCACAGCTGTTTCATAGAAAACATGACTGTTTCATAATGTCGTCTACTTTACTTAAATTAAGATCAGAGGATATGAGTTTACATTGAATTAAATTTAGTTCTCTCTAAACAAAAGTTGTGGCTAGCTTTCTATTCACACATGCACTTTTAGTTACTAGATAAGGGGTTTCTAGGGTTTTAGGTGTCTTCTGTCCTTATGGTTTCCCTCTTACACGACTCAGTCAGGAGAACAGACAAATGGAGACGAAGGAGCCAAGTTCATGGCAGTCTACACTATTGCCAGCAGAAGTTTACATAGAAAATAGGTTTAAATTATGGACCAAAATAGGATTCTAAAAATAAGGGATCTTCCTTATTTAAAGAAAAGTTGATAAATAATCTTTCTGGGAATGTGCCTCTCTTAGGACTAAAACAATGATATTTTAAGAAAATGAAACTCCATGGGTCATGTGATGTGTTAAAGTGAGCCGGACAGCCCAGGAGCAGCATCCTTGCCAAGCTCCATAGAACAGAAATGCTTCTGAGTATAGCTTCTGTTTTTCCCTTTGCTGGCTGAGGAATCTGTGGTGGAGGTGGGGATGAGATCCTCGCTCTCCTGAACCACTGCCTACTCTTTTGGGGAAAGTAAACCAGAGATTATTTTGGATGATGAAGGCAAAGAATTGTGAGGGCCTTTGTCATGAGCTTCCTCTCAGATGTGGCACGCATCTGGCACAGGCGCCCAGAGCTCTAACAGCCTCCGCTCCCACTGTCATTCCCGGCTGGTCACGGCTCTCTTCTCCCTTTCTTAATCTTAACCCTTTCTCTAGTTTAGGATCCCAAGTTTTAGATATTCATAGTAATGTTAACATAACTTCAATTAACCTCTTAAAGACATGTTTTTATCTTAATCCAATTTTTGAACTTGGTAAATTTATTTATATAGCATAAATTTTCTTAACTTTTTTTGGAACACAACTTTAGCAATGAAACATGTCACTAGAAACATTTTTAAAAATATCGTAGGCTGTCATTGTGAGACACTTGCATACAGTGTTTTGGAGTGGACTTTTTTGTAATCCCGTTCTATATTATCCTACATAACTGAGATTTTGAGAAATTTACTGATGCTGAGAAACTGAACTCCATCAAATGATATCACATTACTGAAAATGAACCTTTTGAATAGGTATTTTTTAAGAAAGTTTTTGGTACCCAGTAGAATAGACTGTATCAAATAATAAACTATTTTACAAAGCCAGATTAATAATATGCTGGATGCCTACTCAGCTGAATTCTTCAACATCCCTTAATATTCCCCAAAGGAAATGTTCTTGGACTTTATTTGATAGAAAAGTTGCTGAACAGGGAACATATATCCCCCTCTCAATTCTGAGTATGAGCACAGAGAGGTCTTTGTGAGGCTGTATGCTGTAGCACAGGTAAGCAGGTTATACTAGACAATCTATAGGAACTAATGAAAGTGCGTATTAAAAAATTCATTTGCTGAAAGAAGAAAAACTCTTCTGGGGATGACATTTGAACAATAATCTTTATTCTGAAAATGAATTTGTTTTATGTACTTGACCTCTAAAATGTCATAAACACTGTCTTTGTGTGCCTGCAGTTTCTCGGTTTGTCTTCCTATTTTCCTCCCTTGGCTGTGCTAAATCTCACCACCACCTTCACCTGGAACTCTGGAATGTTTTGTAACATAGTCCTAATTATTGTATGAACCCTCTGTGTTCTTGTACTTGATACATACTAGTAATCACTTTACAATCTTCATTTTTAAGAAATATTTTTGGATTGCCTTTCCGTTTAGGACCCAGGAATTTGTATAAAACCACAGAGGTTATGTTGCTTTTGAAGTAATGGTTGTTGGTTTGTAGAGTTTCCTTCAACTGGAAACACATATAAACCTGTGGTTTTAGTGTTTTCCCAGTTTTATAATATCCTGCTTGCTTGTCTTAATTACAAAGCTGGAGAATTTACCATTAATTTCCATATTTTATAAAGGACTCACTTTTTTCTCTTTCCTTTTTCTTTTCTTTTACAGTTGAAAGAGACAAAGATTTTTCTCACCAGAGAAGGCATTACAAAGAATTCCGGTTTGATCTTACTCAAATTCCTCATGGAGAAGCAGTTACAGCAGCTGAATTCCGGATATACAAGGACCGGAGCAACAATAGATTTGAAAATGAAACAATTAAGATTAGCATATATCAGATCATCAAGGAATATGCAAATAGGTATGGACTTCATATCTAACTTACTTTAGCAAACAAGTATTAACTGTAGTAGAATCCGTTGGTAACCCATGTGGTCTATCACATCTTTGGGTGCAATGACATTGAGGGCCAGGTACAGATACATTAAAAGTAGTTGATCTGGAAAGTGTCTTCTACTACATTCTGCAGTTTTTCCCTAGTTCTGACACCAATCTCTGCATGCTGCATGGTTGCATGCTCCCACATGTGGGCTTTTCCAGGCCTCTTGTGTCATTTTGTAAGTGAGAAAACTTCCATTTTATTCTACACACACGAACTTCATAATTAAGATGATTTGAATCACTTGGTGTTTTGTAGGTTAGCCAAGAGTGACTTTAGTTTTCACTGGCATTAAATGTAAATTGTATGTGTTACTATGCATATTTTAATTTAAATTTATTGGGGAGACATTAGTTAATACAATTGCATAGGTTTCAAGTGTACAATTCTAAAATAAATTATTTGTATATTGCACTGTATGTTTACCATCCAAAGTCAAATCTCCTTCCGTTATCATATATTTGACCCTATTTACCCTTTATTAACTTTCTCCCAGCTCCCTTTCCCTCTAGTAACTACCATATTGTTGTCTGGGTCTATGAGTTTTTGTTTGTTCCTTTGTCTTGTTTGTTCTTCATTTTGGATGAGAGAAGAAATAAACAAAGAGATCAAAAGATCCGTACAAAAAAATGAGAATGACAATATGACATATCAAAACTTTTGGGATGCAACCCTGTACAGTGTGGCTCACTTGGTTGGTGTGTGGTACCATAAATCAAAAGGTTGGGGATTCGATTCTTGGTCAGCGCACATACTTAGGTTGTAGGTTTGATCGCAGGTCATGGTGCATAGGGGAGGCAACCGATCCAACCCACTGATGTTTCTTTCTCATATTGATGTTTCTCCTCTGAAATCAGTAAATGTATTGAAAAATAAAAAAAAATCTTTTGGGATGCAGCAAAAGCAGTAATAGGAAGCAAGTCTTATTATTATAGGACTATTTCAAGAAACAATAAAAATCCCAAGTAAAAAACCTAAAGTTACATCTTAAAAAAAAACTAGAAAAAGAACAAATGCACCTCAACATCAGCAGAAGGAAGGAAATAATAAAAATTAAAGCAGAATTAAATAAAATAGAGAACAAAAAGGCAATACAAAAATTAATGCAACCAAGAGCTTAATAAAGAGATTAGTAAAATTGACATACCTCTGGCTAGAGTCACTAAGGGAAAAAAAGAGACAAAATCAGAAAAGTGGATAAGTTATGAAAGTCACCACAGAAATACAAAGGATAATACAAGAATACTATAAAAGATTATCTGCCACCAAATTCAGTAACCTAGAAGGAATGGACAAGTTCTTATAAATATATAACCTTCCCAGACTGAGTCACAAAGAACTGGAAAATCTAGATTGAACATGATGGATGTTTTTGATGTAAGACATATTTGCAATAGGTTTGGTAGTTAATGTATATCTTCTCTTTCTAAAGTATTTAATTCAAAATGGTACAAAAATGAACAGAGAATCTGAAATACTAAATGTACAAAAATCTCCATTGAAAATTACTGCAAATGAACCATCAAATAAAAGAGTAAAGCAGGAAGTTTATCAGTGTTTTCAGACTCTTCACAAACTGATAAAGTTGCTTGCATAACACCTTTCATAAGTGATTTGCCACCTTTGTTGGACAGTTCTTACTTTTTAAAAAAACTGTATTGAAATGTTATATTGAGATAAAATCCATCTCTGGTACCTTCTATGCATTAGATCTAGATCTGCCCTTTAGTGAAATACAATGTCCTTTTTTTGATGACAAATATTTAAAGAGAGCTACCCCAACCCATCTAAGGCCCCTTTGTTTCCTTGTTGAATGTTCCTTGTTCCTGACATTTACATTTTTCTTGGTCTTTTAAGTGCCAGTTTCCCAATGGGTGTTCCATAGAATACTACCCCCTTAACAATATTCACTGAATAAAAATAAATAAAAAATCTGAGGTCAATTGCATTTGAAAAGTCTACCAGTTAGACCATCCTTTAAGAGATTCACAATGCATATTAGAATATTAAAGTCTTGGAAAAGCTTTGTAATAAAGAGGCCTACCTAGTCTTGCTCAAAACATATTTGACTGTGGAATCTTTTTCTTTGGGTGTGTAATGCTTAATATCCTATGAACCACTGGTTCAGCATGGCATATTTTAAAAAATACTGCTCTATATAAGAGGTCCGTCCTAAAAAAGTCCAGCCATTGTTAATATAACAAGAATAGTTTGCATGACATTATGTAACCTGGCAGCCAAGGAGAGTGGGCTGGAATGCGTATGCATGAACAACGATGACTTCACTGTACTAGTCAGTGGGGGCAGTAGATGCCATTGAGTGAGCATGTGTACTGTGTGGCCATCCCACTCAGAGTGACTGAATGAGTAGAGGAATGAATCGGCATCCAATTTTGTGTTAAGCCTGACCACTTTTCCGAGGGAACTATTCAGATGATTCAGAAAGACACAGCTATGGGCAACTGATGATTGGCAGCTTCATAACAACAATGTGCCCATTCATACATCACATCTGGTGCAGCATTTTTTGGCAAAACATCAAATCACCCCCCTTAGTCCAGATTTGGCGCCCTGTGACTTCTGGCTTTTCCCAAAACTAAAATCACCTTTGAAAGGAAGAGATTTCAGACCGTCAGTAAGATTCAGGAAAATATGATGGGGAAGCTCACGGTGATGGGGAGAACTGTGTGAAGTCTCAAAGTGCCTACTTTGAAGGGAACTGAGGTGTCATCTTCCTATGTACAATGTTTCTTGTATTTTGTATCTTTTTCAATAAGTGTCTCTATTTCTCATATGACATGGTTGGATATCTTCTGGACAGACCTCATACAGTATTATTTTAAGACCAGTAATTCCAAGGCTTAATGTTCCTTTATCAGTTTTTAACAAATTAACAATTACTAGCTATCTGTCTTTGGGTGATTCATTTTTTTTTTAATCTTAATCCAGTAGTTCCATTTATAAAATGGGGATACTAATTTCTCTTTCTCAGAGACAGGGCCTGGCATATTATGTTATGTTTAATACTATTGATGGCATCTTGCAAAATAAAGTGACAAGAATTAAAAATAATACTCCAAATATATATTTCTGTGTCTGTTTTTCCATTTGGACTGTCAGCTGCTTAAAAAGAGATAGTGTCTTAAATAATTTTACTGTTGATATTATGCCCAGCACTACAAATTTGTTTGGTAGGCTTTAAAGTTTTGAAATCATTATTAGCCATGCTTGGAGTACTGCTTCCACTAACATATTCTAAAATTCTTGAGTTATCTTTATTTTTGGTGACTCATATTACATTTTTATGCATGTTGAATTTTCAAATGGTTATTTAAAATACAAAGTTTTTTTTTCTTTTTTTTTAAAAAACAAGAATGGTTGTTATGACAGGTCTCTAGTCTCTGGAATATATTTACTGATTTTTTAAAAATCTATACACAGACTTTTACATTGATCACAATTAAAGGTCTTAACTTTTATTTAGGTCTATTGTTCTATCTTCTTAGGATATTTTTTGATTATCATCCATTGAACTAGCTACCCCTTTGAACTTTTTAAAGGATGTGAACTGTATAATTTAAGACATAACAGTGATGAGAATAAGGACTAATAGAAGAGGTTATTCATAGTAATTTGTAGATTTATTTCTGAATGAATCCATGCAGATTTTTACTAATAATACTTTTGTGGCATATTTATGATTTTTGATCATTAGCTTTTTACACTTCATAGTTTTATGAAATGGAATTTCTCTTAAAATATGGGACAAATATATATCTTGAAAATTTGGTCTTTCTTCAGTTATACCTATTTATAAAATATTGCTCTCATTTTTTTTCCTACAACTACATCTACATGTTCCTAAGTGGTGTTGGGTATAATTTGGCTAAGTCTTTACATACTTATTTTTAATTTTTAATTAAATTTACTGGGGTAACATTGGTTAATAAGATCACATAGGTTTCATTTGTACAGAGAGTGCAATACACAGATCATATAGAAATACACTCCATGTATTTTTCACATGCTTAAATCTACTCTAATATCTAAAATTTTAATGACATTTTCCTGAATTTTTCAAAAGTGATTTCTAAAATCTAAAGTACATCTATATCTTCAATTGGTGTTCTCTTGCTTTGCCATTTCAAACTCTCAATGGCATAGATTGAGTCGATTCTATCCAATATACAGAATATTATTTTGAAAAATTAATTTTGTAAATTCAATTTGGTATATATTCAAGTCCACCAAGTTCACATTTTTACACATTTGCTATTATGTAAATGTGTAATGTGTAAATGTATGGTGGCTACATTATTATTTTCATTCTGTAGGTTTATGCTGTACTTATTGTCTTCTGTGGTATTTGTTTTTACTAATGTTTATGGGCTTTTTTTATCCCAATTATCTTTTTCAATCTCTGAAACATACAAACTCACACATGCATACCCTTCATTTCAATTTTACATAGCATTGATCAGGTGAGAGAATCTCTGACAAAATACTTCCATTGTCTTTGAAATAATCATTCATTCATTGCCAGAGATTCATGAATCTGCAGGATTAGAAAATGCAATCTTCTGCCTATTATGTTTATAGGTCTAGGGCTCACTTTTGGCACTTCACTTTCTCTTCCAAAGAAAGATATATAAGGAATAAAAAAAATATAGAAATAGCACAAATGCCTCTTAGAATATTTCAGGTTTCTACATAGGATTCCAATGTCACCATAGAAAATGGTAATGTATAGCAATAAGAGCATAAACTTTACAATTCATACATGATAAAGTTGCTGTACATCTTGGAGTCTTAGTTTATAAATCTGAAAAGAATAGAAACAAAAATAAGCATTTCAGAACAACGAATGATATTTCCGATCTTTGGACAGGACTAATGTTTATCACAGTGTGAAGATCATGGTT